CCAGAATCTTCCTATCTGGGAATTCTAAGCAACACATCTGGAGGGAATTGGTTGCAGAATGCTGCCTTTTTGTGGATATTCATAGTGTGAATCCACTGTGGTGTTTTAATTACCATTTCTATCATCTCTGTATTTGTTCCCAACCAATCACAGCTAGTCCCCATATCAAAGGTGAGTACCGATTGGGTTTCCAGATGTTTCTACCAACAATTCTTTCTTCACCTAGGATAAAAGCTGGCAATGACTTGCTGGAGACATATGGCAAAAACATCTGAAGGGCCAAAGATTCTCCACCCTGTCCCCATATATGAGATTATAGCCAATCAGGGATCCTCAACTGGATGTGATTTCATTGCAGTTCTATGCAGCCAACTAACTATGGCAAATCAAAGCATTTAGATCAGGGATGGACAAATTCTAGGGGAAACACTCCCTCACCAAACCCATTGGGAGCCAAGTGGCATGATAATGTTGAATCTGCCACTCTTGTCAGCAGTAGCAAAAAGGCCACAATTTCACTCTAGAACAAAACATGCAGGTCATGGTTTGCCCATTCTAGATTTATAGTAATGCTAGTGCTTACTGTAATGGTCCCAGAGCACCCACAATCTAATAACCCAATTACCCTCACCTTATTTTGTGAGTACCTTGTTAGTTTCTTTATTAAATAATATTTGTAGATTGTTATTAACAACATTTGTATGTACCTAGTAAATTTTATATGGTTTGTTTGCATTTGATATGGTCTGTTGATACATTCAATAAATTTTATCTATCTATTGTAGACTTTTAAATGTTAAAAATCCTCTAAAGCAATTTCCAACATGCAAATAAATTGGACCTTGGAAACATTGGCTGACATCTTGTTTTGTTCTGTTTCCTTATGTGTGTGGTTGTATATTTTTTCAGCCCCAGTGTAACATCCAGCTGAAGGCTGCAGAAGGAGAATTGAACATGTGGTGCCACTGAGTATTGCCAATGCAGGTGTGTCTCTAGTATCGGAATTATGCATTCAACATCTGTTGCATAGTCAGTTGTGCAATATTTCAGTCCACTAATGCACTGTTGTGACATATGGGTGTACAGTTACACAGTATCTCCTTGTCCCATTATGCTGTGCTTGCTGAGAGATTCTTTGACTTGTAGTCCAGGCTTTGGGTTAGACAGATGAATAGCCTCACAAATAGCTTGATTTGCTATAAAACAGCTTTTTGTACTTTAAAGGTAGGAATTGTTGTGCTGAATTGGGAAAAGGGACTCTTCGGGCTTATTCCCACTTACATTTAACCCAGTTTGCGATTCACTTTCACTCCGGGTCAATGAATCAATTCCAGTCGATGCATTGTTCACACTATGGAAGTGAGTCTTTTCTTTATTTGCTTATTTTTTGACACGATTGTTGTTCCCACTAGTTTTTGCCCATTCAAAATGTCTAACAATCATCTACACATCATCGGTGACGCAACTGGCAACACATTCAAGAAAACATGGGAGAGAGTCATGGGTGCCATGGCCAGAATTCTCCCTCGGGATGCATACATCCCTGGGTATCATGGAGGACTCTCCTCTGGGATGCATGCAGCCATGGGTGTCATGGAGGACTCTCCCCTGGAAAGATTCATGAGGTGCCTTTTCTTTATGTATAAGCCCCATTTCCAAATTCTGGGCAGGGGGAATCTTCCCCAAATCATTAAGGGGGCTACTTTACCCCTCCAATGTGTTTTGCTAAAGACATAAACCATCAGGGGGCAATGACAGCAGTGATAAACATATCTTAGTAATTATCTTAATTTTTTCTCATTATCTTGATCAAACTGGAATAATAAAATGCAATAATTACTATTCCAGTCCATGGACAGATACTATAAAATTCTGATGACTTGTACTTTGCACGTCTAATGAAAATGATTTGTGATGGATGGAAATCGATTGGCATGTCTGTTTAGTTCTATACATGCTGAGATCACTTCAAAAATGTCCCTGTTAGCCAAACCAAGAAGGAAATTGGGTAAGTAGCTGGAGCAGCTTGTTTCTTAGGCTATATCCCAGGAATAGTTGCCAGTGTTCACATCCAGTCTGAAATTGGATCAAATCAATCATGAGATGCCTTGAATTGGGATATTTAACCATTACGTATGTATTTATTTGCTCAACTTGTGTACTGGGGCAGTGTGGTATATAGGTCAGAGTGGCCTCTTGCAAGCTGGTACCCTCCATGTGTGTTGAATTATCATTCTCATCATCCCCAGACAGCACTGCCAGCACATCTGGAACACAAATTGGGGAGGCCTGGCCAAGAGGTCCTTGGATTAAGGAGACCTGTGTTGAAATCCAGAAGAGTTCTGTGGATATCACAGATTGCTAAAAAAAAAAAAAAAAAAAGACAAATAAATGGGTATTAGAGCAAATCTGAATTTTCCCCAGAAGCCAAGATGATTAATTGAGACTGTCATACTTTGGAATACTGTGAGAAGACATGACTCACTAGAAAATGCTATAATGCTTGATAAGACAGAAATCAGTAGGAAAAGAGGAAGACCACATTACAGATGGATAGACTCAATCAAAGAAGCCACGTCCCATAACCTGCAAGACTTGAGCAAGTCAACCAGTTGACTTGGACATTTCTCATTCATAAGGTCATGGTAAGTCAAAGTCAATGGCAGCTTACAGCAACAGCTTCAAATCCACCCTTGGTTGCCATAAAATGGGGCAAACTTGACAGCTTAGAAGATTACTTTTTAATGGTAAGTATTTACAGATATTGTACCAAGGCATTCCCAAGCAGGTGTTTACCACTGGAATTGCAGTTTTGAAAAACAAAACAACCCTGTTTCTCAGAGGTAACTAAAAAACTTGGGATCTGCTAGGGTTTGGTTCCAGCCCACCCCCATGGATATCAAAATCCTCGGATGTTCATGTCCCATTTTATACAGTGGCATAGTAAAATGGTGTTCCTTATATAAAATGGCAAAATCAAGATTTGTTTTTTTTTTAAAAAAATTATATTTTGGATACATATTTAAATATTTTCAAGCTGTGGATGCTGAATCTGTGGATAAGGAAGGATGACTGTACACATTAAAACATGGTGCAGAAGGAGTGTGTGCCTTCTCTTTAAGCCAAATTGAACCTCAAAGATTTTAGGTGTGTGACTCAGTTTAAAAACAAGTTGAATACTCATTGCACACTTATTTTCCCTACAATATCACAAAAGTTGGTAGTGTGACAGTTAATTCAGTGGAGCCCATAAACAACAGGCTGTGTGTAGCCAGTGATCTGTATGTATCCCACTACTGTTGTATGAAGATATGAACCTGGATTCTATTGGTAGTCCCAGCTAGAGGAGATCTAAAATTGATGGATTTGACATACGTGTGGACACACCACTGAAAATCATCATCATCCCGATCATCATCATCATCCTGCTTCCCCCCAAAAATTGGGACACAAAGCAACTTACAAATTAAAAGAACAGTACAATTAAAAACTAGAATTAATCTAGTACAATATTAAAACATCACTCATTAAAAGAATAAAATGCAACAACAACAACAACAAAAGATAAAAATTCAATGGATCTACTGTAGCTTGGACTACTAATAAAAGTTGGGCCAGTATCTACATAATGTTATCTATTTCCAAAATCCAGCTAACTGTTTTCTAAAAAATACTGCTTCAAACAAAGAAAATAAAATATTCCAAGTGAGTTTTGTATTATCTTCCCCCCCATCTGCCTTAGAGCATATCCTGGGACTACTTTCTTTGGAGTTGTGCATTTCCACAAGAAAATGAGAAATGTCTTTCCGTAATATCAGGGATAATGAAACAACTGTCTCCCACATATCTTTATATGAGGCATCAGAAAAATATTTATGAAATATTTTGCCACTCAGCCAGCTGACAGATGATAAACTGCTAATATCTAATCTTTTACAGATGCTTTCAATGCAGCAGCTGCCCATTTGGAATGAAGCTTAAAAGAGAAGTATTGATTCCCGCTTCAGATGGGACAGATTTGCTCTTGACTTGTATTGTATTGACAGAAATGAATCTCAGGAGAACTTTTTGCTGTAAAAAGTAACTACTTAACTTCCCTTTTCAAGTATGACCTGTCCTACAAGGCTTCATAATGTGGATATTTTCTGAGTTCAGCCCTCTCTAAGTAAAAATGGATTGAGGTTTGCAAGCTCAAGGGGAGGATAGTTGCTTGCTGCTCAAGCGGAAGACACATGTAACATTTGACAATATTGGGGGGGCATTTTCAAAGCTTTCCTCCTTCCTTCCTTAAATTTATATCCCACTTTTCTCCCCAAGAATATCATAACAAAAATATAGGTGAACCACCTGTGACAGTGAAGCTCTTTTAATATGGCTTTTTACAAACTCCTTGTCCTGTCTCCTTTCCCCTTGTTTTCTGCTGCACCAGAAACCAGGACCAGGTGCAATGGATTCAAACTACAGGAAAAGAGATTCCACTTCAACATGAGGAAGAACATCTTGACAGTAAGAGCTATTCTGGACAGTGGGACACACTCCCTCGGAGGGTGGTGAAGTCTCCTTCTTCATTAGTTCTTCCTAACATTTACATGGAATCTCTTTTCCTGTAGTTTGTATCCATTGCTCCATGTCAGTTTCTGGAGCTGCAGAAAACAAGCTTGCTTCATCTTCAGTATGGCATCCCTTCAAATATTGAAACAGGGCTTTCATATCACCTCTTAACTTTCTCTTCTCCAGGCTAAACATACCCCACTCCCCAAGTTGCTCCTTGTAGGGCATGGTTTCCAAACCTTTCACTGTTTTGGTCACCCTCCTCTGGACACGCTCCAGTTTGTTGTTGTTGTTGTTGTGCACCTTCAACTCATTTCTGTCTTAAGGTAATCCTAGGATGACCCTATCATAGGGTTTTCTTGACAAGATTTATTCAGAAGGGTTTTGTTTTTTATATCCTCTGAGGCTGAAAGAGTGTGACGTGTGCAAGGTCAGCCAGTTAGTTTTCATGGTCAAGCAGGGATTCGAACCCTGGTTTCCAGAGCCATAGTCCAGCATTCAAACCACTACATCACACCAGCTCTCTTGTATTCATACTTAATTTAGTTTAGGATATTATGATTTGGAGGAGGATTTGGAGGAGGAACAATAAGATTAATAAATGGGCTTTCTGTAGGAGAGAATTTGGATGGGAGGATAGTTTTGGGGGACATCCAAGTCAGCGATGATTCTGTCTATTCAAACTATTCTTATGCAGTGTTTTATATAATGCTGGCAATGCACTGTACTGTTCTTGAACGAATAAAAATAAAAATGACCATGCCACAAAAGAAAGAGATGTGATTTTGTCTCTAAAGTTACAAAGTGATAATAATTTTTATAGACTTATACTGCTGCATTTCATGCAGAAAGAGTGGCAAGAAGATTCCATTACAAATCAGGTGTCCTTAAACTGATGATACTTTTAGCATTTGATGAAAGAGTATGAATCTACATCCTGTCTATAAAACCCTCTGCATCCAGGTTGATGTTTTGTATTAGATAAATTGGAAGCTGGCCCAGTGGCCCAAAAACTGTGATCTGTCTTCAAAATAGCCACCTTTGGCTCATATGAACCAAATCCTGGAGAGTGTCCCCTCTTCTTCTTGTTCTTCTTGCTGGCAATTCATGACTAGAAAACCTATTGGCCAATAACTGTAGAATTATTCAAATGAAGTCAGCTTCTACTAAGGACTTATTTTACTGCATAGCTAAGGGACCAGGGAACCTTATCACATTATAAAGTTATAAGTTTTAAGGGCTCTAGAACTTTTCAGAAAGTTGTTAATGCATAAAAAGACAAATGGTTAAAGAGAAAAGGGTTCCCCCCCAATAGCTGACATGGCAACAGGAAAATGGTCTTTTGCTAAGA